CATTTCTCTTATGGTGTGCTAAAAGGAACCTGGGAGACTCTGAAGCAGGGGCGGACTGACCATTTGGAAACGAGGGCCCGGGGTCAGTAGGGGGCCCCAGGAAATGCCCCTGGTACCTTTTTCATAGGCATTTTTGAGTTTGGGCAAGGACACAGGGGCCCCATGATACCCTATTGCTTGGGGGCCCCATGAGTTGTCAGTCCACCCCTGTTCTGTAGGTAGCTGAAAGAAGGTTCTGTGGTTTGGTGAGACCAAAGTTGTTCTTTTTGGCAACTTTGGTGTAGGCTATACATTGCAGATGATCATAAATGCATTATCCTGGTCATAAATCTTGCTGTGGGGAGGTTTTTCTGCCGCAGGCTCTGTAAACCTTGTGAGGGTAGAATGAATACAGAAACATACAGGTGAATTCCACAGGAAAATCCAGTGCAGTCTGACAAAAGCCTGAGCATAGAGATACGTTTTGTCTTCTTTTGACATAATGACCTCAAGTATAAATTAAAAATTTTGCAAGAATGGCCTAAAAAACAACAGTGTTAATATCCTGAAATGGCCAAGTCAAAGTCTAGATCACAATGTAATAGAATTCTTGGCTGCACTTGAAAAAGGCTGTTCACTCACCATGCCCCAGGTAACCTGGCAGAGCTGAGGCAGTGCTATAAAGAGAAATGAGAAAAAAATTGAAATGTCCTAATGTTTAAAGCTGACAGAGACCTATCCGCAGAGTGCCAAAAAATGCATCTACTAAATACTAAAGTATACAGATGCAGTCAGTTATTTTGTGTTTTTTCATTGCAACTAATTAAATAACTTTCCAGAGACCTTCACTTTGGCAATAAAAGATATATTTTTGCTAAATAAAAAGAGTAAAAATGTGTGCTATAGCAATAAAACCTGCAAACCTGCAAGAGATAAATACTTTTAAGTAGCTGTAAGTGTCAGGATGAATCAGGGGTTTCCCACTTTCTACAATATTATATACTAATGATAGAGAATATAAGTCATCTGCTTTGTTATATAAGACTTTAAGCCATATTCACACCTTCGTTTAGTAGGAATGTGAATTCTCCCTTGCTTTTTTTAACACGCATTTCCACGAGTTGCAGCTTATTCACTTAAATAGGCTGCCCTATGCAAGAAAAACGCTCCAAAAAAGCTACAGAACCTTTTGGGCATGGAACATTCCACATTTTTTCAGTACACATTTTGGTATGTCTGTAGTGCAACAACATGTGGAAATACGATCATCTGCTAACAGCATTTGGGGTGCCATTAGCAATTAATGGCTCTACTACCGCTAAGCACATTTGCAGCATATTTCCGAAACGCACAGCAAAAAACAAATTGAATTTGTTTTTTTTTCGTGCTTTCAGGAAATAGAAGTGTGAATGGAGCCTAAGATACAACCCTAACAGCAGGGGTATCATCCTCAAAGAAGACAATTCAATTCTATCCTTGACAGAAGACTTTGATTCAATACTATCAATGTACTAAAAGCTTTTGGTAACCAGCCAAAACCTATTGCAAACCCTCGACATATCAGGAAGTGAGAGGAAATCAGTTAATCAATCTTATCTTGCTGTACAGGGGATTACAGAAAGCTACTATAAAGACAATGCAATTAAATAACATATTAAATACTTTAATGAGTATGTACTGTTTTTGATTTAACCACTTGAAGACTGGCATGTAAACCCCCTTCCTGTCCATGCCATTTTTCAGTTTTCAGCACTGTGTTTAGCAATTACTTGGTCATGCAACAGTGCACCCAAATATGACCAGTTGCCGACCACAGATAGTCGAATGATGGCTGCACTGCGGCTGGCCAGTTCTGGGAGGGCGTCATAGGACGTCCTCCTAAAAAACACGCTCTCCTGCATGCCCCCTACGGACACAGCTGATCACGTGATGTGGTAAAAGGCCAATCACAGTGGCCTTTTACCACGTGTCAGCATTGTCCAATGACGCGCTGATCACTGGGAAATGCAATTGCCGGTTCTTGGCTGCACTTTTCACCTCCACACGCTCTCCTGCATGCCCCCTACGGACACAGCTGATCACGTGATGTGGTAAAAGGCCAATCACAGCGGCCTTTTACCACTGTCAGCATTGTCCAATGACGCGCTGATCACTGGGAAATGCAAGTTCTTGGCTGCACTTTTTCTCACACTGTCAGAGCGTGAGGAAAGTACTGCCGAGAACCGAGCGGGGATTGGCACCGATCATCAGGGCACTGATGATCAGTGCCCTGATGATCGGTGCCCAGCAGTGCCACCCACCAGTGCCCAGAAGTGCCCAGCAGTGCCGCCCACCAGTGCCCAGAAGTGCAACTCACCTGTGCCCAGAAGTGCAGCCCAGCAATGCTGCCAGTCATTGCCACCCAGAAGTGCCGCCAGTCAGTGCCCAGCAGTGCCGCCAGTCAGTGCCCAGCAGTTGCGCCAGTCAGTGCCCGTCAGTGCCGACCATCAGTACCCATCATCAGTGCCAGCTCATCAGTGCTGCCTATCAGTGCCACCCATCATTGCTGCCTATCAGTACCGCCTATCAGTGCCGCCTATCAGTGTCACCTATCAGTGCCACCTCATTAGTGCTGCCTATCAGTGCTGCCTATCAGTGCCGCCTATCAGTGCCCATCAGTGCCGCCTATCAGTGCAGCCTCATTAATCATCAGTGAAGGAGAAAAATTAACTGTTTGCAAAATTTTATAATAGAAACAAAGAAACTTTTTTATTTTCAAATTTTTTTTCTTTTTTTTGTTTAAAGCGCAAAAAGTAAAACACCCAGCAACAAATAAATACCACCAAATGAAAGCTCTATTTGTGAGAAAAAATTATAAAATTTCATATGGGTATATGATGTTGCATGACCGTGCAATTGTCATTCAAAGTGCGACAGGGCTAAAAGCTGAAAATTGGCCTGGTAATGAAGGGGGTATAAGTGCCCGGTAGGCAAGTGGTTAAATCATTTTTGGAGACAGCTAGAGTTTCTTTTGGTGGTATTTAATCTCTTCTGTTTTATTTACTACAATAATAAAATAAGGCCAAATATTTTGAATAAAGAAAATGTTTCCTTTAGTTTCTGCTATTAAACTTTGCAAATAAATAATCTTTCTTCATAAATGTAGACCAAAATGTATTCTGCTACAAGTATAATGTATTTAGACTGTGTTAAAGTTATAAAACTACAAACTAAGGTATTTTATATATGAAATTTATCAATCCTGATGTTCTGAGTACCTCATTTCTTGAGGATTTAAAATGCCAGAGCAGTACAAATACCCTCAAAATACCCACTTTTCGAAAGTAGACAATCCAAGGTATTTAGTAAGAAGCATGGTGAATTTTTTAAAAGTTTTTTTCCATTTCTTTTTTGAAAATGAAGAAAATAAATAAAATTTGATTTTATTTAATGAGTTTGTCATTTTAACAAGTTATTTCACACACACATGGCATACGTATATACAATTACACCCTAACACACTAGTGTGAGGATACCACAGATGTGAGACTTTTTTGCTGGCTTTCAGGAGGCTTATATTTTCCATTTGATTTCCTGACTATCTATCACATTTCTTGGGATCCTGAAGTGCCAGGGCAGAAGAAACACCAAAAAATTAACTACACTCTTGAAAGTAGGCCCTCCAATGTATTTCTTTAGAGGCATAGTGAGTCTTTTGAAGATCACATTTTCATCAAAGGTTTTTGGAAAATGAAGAAAAAAAATTAACACACCTGTCAATTAATAAGATATTTCTCACTCACTGTGTAGACATACTTGGAAATACACACCAAAACACATTCTGCTACTCTTCCTGAGTATGGGAATACCACATATATGAAACTATTTGCAGACTAACCACATAAAGAGACCCAAAATCCAAGAAGCACTTTCAAACTTTCAAGGGGCATAAATTAGGCATCTAATTTCCTGAGTACCTATCATGTTTGGAGGCCCTGGAGTACCAGGACTAGAAAAACTCCCACAAAATGAACACATTTTGGAAAAGCAAACACCCAAAAAGTATTTTGAGAGGTATGGTGAATCTTTTGAATATTTAATTTCTCCCCACAAGTTTTTGAAAAATGAAGAAATGTTTTTTTCTACATAATGTTGTCAATTATTAGGATGTTTCTAAGACACAGTATGGCATACTTAGAACTACACCCCATAGCACATTCTACTACTCCTCCTGAGTATGGGGATACCACATGTGTGAGACTTTTTCAATGTTTGGATTGATATTGTTCCGGACATTTTATCTTGTGTGTCACAAAAATCAACCAACATTGTATCAAAAACAGTGTACAGGCAGTGCCCGAGTTATGAACAAGATGGGTTCTGTAGGTTTTTTTCTGAAATTGAATTTGTATGTAATAATTGTATTATATAATTTTTTTAAGTGTAACTTCAGAGGAGCTCCAGTAGTTTTTGTGTTTAGTAAAAGTCAGCAGCTACAATAACTGTAGCAGCTGACTTTTAATAAATGCACACTCACCTCTCCCAGGATTCAGCTATGTGCTCACCTGAGCCATCCCTTCTCTCCCTGGCACTGGCATCTCAACTGTGGGCACCCGACTGTGATGGCTTGCGGCTTCATAGCCGGGTGCCCACTGCGCATTCGTGAGTCGCGTTGAGCATCCTGAATGATCCGGCAGTCTTCTGAGACCTGTGAAGTGTACCAGAAGACTACGGGGGAAGGAGGGGGGCCAAACTAGGTACCCACTCCCTCCTGAAAAAAATTGCATGCCAAATGTGGTAGGGGAGGAGTACTTAAACCAGAACTTCCCCTATTGGGTGGAGCTCAGATTTAAGTTTTGGATAGCATAGGGAAGGGTTAGCTGGACATGCAGTGATGTGGGATAGCTGACAGGTCCACCAGACAGTAGGTGGCAGCATGTGATGAGCAACAAGATGGCCACTCAGTGGCTTCCAGGAACAGCGTGATGTCTCGCTGCCTCCATTTCTGAAGTATGAGTCATATGTAAGTTGGAAGTTTGTAACTCAGGAACTGGCTGTACTGTGTATTGCCTATGTATGAGTGGTCAGTGAATATAGTTTGTGCAGCTTCACCTATAGCAGTCCCCAGGGGCGGACTGACAACTCATGGGGCCCCCGGGCAATAGGGGATCATGGGGCCCCTGTGTCCTTGCCCAAACTCAAAAAAGCCTATGAAAAAAGTACCAGGGCCATCTCATGGGGCCCCTTACTGACCCTGGGCCCTTGGGCAGTGCCCGAGTTTCCAAATGGTCAGTCCGCCCCTGATAGTCCCCTTGCTAAGCAAGCCTAGCTTACTGGTACGTGGCTGCCCCCCAGGAATGCTATTGTCCGCAGGGATGGCTAGGACTGGTGTCTCACAAGAACGTAGTCATTGGGACATGCAGATGCATCACTTCAGACTACAACAGGCTTGGTGCAGGTGACACTGCACTGGTGTGGTGGTGATCAGGAACACTTTTGCTGGCTACAGTGGCTTTAGGGACACTGGCACTGTTGTGGCTGTGATTGGTCACAGCAATCACATGCTACAGGGTCAATTTCAATGGCCCTGTACACTGCTCTGTTATCTACTGTGTCATAATGAACACATGGGTGCACTGCTGCATGCGCTAGAGGGCATTCATAAGCAAGACAACAGGGAGTCCTTTTAAAAATGGCCTTCCACCCTCAGCCTTTTGGTCCTTAATGTACAATGGCCAGAGGGTAAGTGGTTAAAGCCTGGCTTCATTCAAAACTTTTATTTACATTTTTGGTAGAATAGGCAAAATAATTATTTGTCAGATTTTGTTTTTGCTATCTATGATCCAATGGGTGGTATTTCCTTGCATTTTGGCCTTTGACTCCAGAACACAAGAAATTAGGGTGACAGCTGTCCCCATAAAGGCATGAACAGCAATGAAAATATTGCAAAGATTCTAGCCTTTCTCCATTTTATTTGTTGCTGTGCCTGTCCTCATTAAAGTTCAATATTTTTTGTAATTAGAGAAAATTTCCTTACAAGGTGTTAGTATTCATTAACGATTAAGACTAATTAGGCCTCTTTAGCGTCTAGAGATTTTTAACACCTAAAACAAAAATGCTAAAATGGTAGAACTTTTTGAAAATATTAATATTTTACCTATAAACAAATTCTCCCAAGAGGATATAAAACATATACTATCAGTTCCTTTTTCAGTTTTAGTTAGAAGTACTTAGAAACCAGGAACTTCAATAAGAGAATCTGCTGTACATTCAGTAGTATTAATGCCCAACTAGATACAAACAAGATCAAGGTTGCTTATACATATTTGGCTAGCATGTTATAGGATCAAGCCACATAATAAAATGGCAGATTCAACTAAACCCTGAAATGAGATGGCTACATTTTTCAAATATATAATCTACAAGAGAAAAAGAAAACATGCTTTTATTCTGTGATAATGACAGCTAAGCATTAATACCCAAACATTGGCTAACATATTGATTCACAACATCAAAAGAATGGCTTGCAGAGATTTCTAACATTTCACAGTTTTTAATGATGTATTATACTCAAATTATTAAGCAACTTTACATAATGGGATGTGTGTGTTTTAGATTTGCAACCTAAATATACCAATAATAAACACGAATACTTTCATTTTGCCATGTCCAGCTAACCAAAACATTTGCAAAATTATTTCAATATCATTTATGACTCTATTAATTGTATCCCTATTCAGACTCTTATTTATGTTTTCTTGTATGTCTTCTTACCTTTGGCTTGAAAAGCTTTTTTTAAAAAAATAATGTTTTATCAACAATACTGAAAATGTTCAGGCCACATAGCCCCATCATTCAATCATAGGGGTTTTTTTGAATGAATAAATTATAGACCCCATCTTCCATGGCAGCATTTGGATTTTAATTCTCAAGGGAATATGAGTGTGTTGATCACTTGCAGTCCAATGACACTTCCTGCAGCTCTTTGACTTAAAGTCTATACCTTGGTACAGACAGGAAGTTGGAAGCAGAGCCTGCAGGAGCCTGGCATTGCCCTACTCCACTGACTGTAGTTGCAATGCTTTGCAGGCTGACTTGCAAAAAAAAAATGCAAATATGTGTGCATTTTTTTTATTTTTTTCTTGTAAAAGGTGCACTTGGCATTTAAATGTATAGAACCTGGGTTCTCCCCATATTGGTGCTCTTGTAGAGCATGTTTTGGGGTTTACAAGTGCAATCAATTTATACATTTTATATATTTATTGCAATTTATATATTTATTACAGCTGTGATAAAAATATTCTTATTTGCATGAGCTTGTTGGTTTATACACCAATTTCAACTGGCGTTTTCATTTCAGAGGGCTCCTTTATGTGTTACATAGGATTTTTTTTTAGGGATTAGGATGTTACATATTTTCACATATTGTTATATTTAATAAAATGATAGGGTTTACATGAGCAGTGTGGCTGATTTCTTGTCATGGTGTCATATGCAAGATCATTGATTTAAAGAGTACCCATACTTTGTCAACAAGTGCACGCTCAATAGTGCACGCTCAATAAGTGTCTGCAGATTGCTAATACTAATTTTGAAGCATCTGTACTGCTCTCAGGTGCTCCAAGCAAAGCATTCCACACATTCACCACTCTAATTTCAGACTTATGACTGTTTCCCAAATGCAGCAATTGATCCAGTGTCCATTTACTAAAGATATATGAGTAAAATATAATTTTTCATTGATTCTGCACTTTACATATGCTCCTCGTGCTGTGAGAATAGGACTACTAGTTCTGAATAATGATTCTATGAAAAGGCTAAGCCCACACATTTATACTTTGCCCCAGTCAAAATCACTGTTCAGTGTGAATGCTCTGAATATGAAAGCATTCAGAGTTTAGTTTTTCTGGAAGATTAGTGATGCCACTGCATCCAAGCAATTCTGGATACGGTTAACTGAACCCTTAACTGGAAATTAAGTTTTGTGTGGGCATTGGAGGGTTGTTCCTTTAGCTCTGTTTTAATATATCCCATAGAGTGTATCGGCAAGATTTCCCTTCAAAGGTTTGTGTTTCAGCCCTGTAAACTAAAAACAAAATGCCATCAGATTTCATCTATTTCTAACTGGGACTCCCAGTTATTTTTATAGTGCAGAATTCACTGTTTAATTTTGTAAAAGCAGCAGTGGTTGAAACAAAAGCTAGTAATTTTGGATGGATTATTTGTAACACTGTAGTCTACAAGATTTATGGGAAGGCAAAATATAATTTAACTTGTTATCTATTATTCAAAACATTTATGATATTAAGTTTTAGCTAGAGCTTGCCATTTTTTTTTTCATATTTAAAGCCCAGCTCCAGTATATTAGCAAACCCCCTCATCTCAACCCATGTATCTATCCTCTGGTATGAAAACAAAACCTTTTAATATCCTGTTGGTGAAGGTGACACTTACAACAGCCAGGTCCTCTAGTGAGGGCTCCAGAGTCAGGATAACTCAAGTGGGCAGTGAGGGAACCTATGCCCAAGAAAATAATCAGCAGGGGAAAATGCCTGGTCCCCATGGGTAGGATAATAGCTTGGCTCATAGATGAACCAGTGATTCAACTGCAAGGTGGCTTGAGAAAAGGTCTCTGGAATCAAGACTGATGAGTAAGGTATCTGCTGCACAATGCACTATTTAAATTTCATTTTTGAAGCATTTTGGACAATCCATAAATGCAGATGTGAGTGTAATATTTTCTAATTTATGCTAAAATATAGACTAACTTTTCAATGTGTCTACAAAAGAATATTTAGACACTTGGCAATGTAAAACAATCAAATTTGTTCTCCAAGGACAACAGGCAAAACAGTATATACAAATTTGATAGGATGGGATAAGCAGAGAGCCTGACTTCATTCTTCTCAAAATACTAAGTGACGTTCTGTGGAGAATATCCATAAAACACACTAAGTTTGAAAAATTCATTTCCTGTAGTTTATAAAAGCAAATGATTTGGCTCAATATTTATTCCCTAAACAGGGAAACATGCAGTTTAACATTATTTACATGCAGTTTAGCCAAAAATACACACACATTTTGGAAAGTGCAAGAATGTATTTATTTTCCATTTGTAGCTCTACCCTCTTTTAGACCCGTTGGATTTTTGCCGGGTCCCCTAAGTGCTGCACAGCCACGCAACACGCATTTTCCACTCAGAGTCGGTAAAACAGTTCTTCAGTTTGTTTTTGTTGTTTTTATTAGGGGTTAACAACTTGGATGGGGTCTAGGGGTATATGGGATGCCTGAGGAACTGTAAACGTTGAGGGCAAATTCTTGGCAACTGTCTTGGAGTCTCCTTTGGTGTACCTCCTCAGACCCCAGATGAAACTCTCATCCACCCAGTTGTCCTGAAGGTATCTCTGGGCAAGGGTTTCCAAGATCTACAGCTGAGTAGTCTCAAGTGAGAACTAGTTGGGTACTGCACCTGACCACCCTCTCTCTTCTGTGGCCCAGGGGATGTAGAAGTACTCACGCTGTCCTTTTCCTGTAGCTTAGTGGGTTGCAGCTGCTTTCAAGCCTTACGCTGGGCTGGCTTCTTCTCTGCTGACAGGCTGTCCTTCCTAGAAGACATTAGTACAGTGGATATCCTTTTGTCTGCTTCAGCCTGTAGGTATGCCCCTCTCCCTGGGGCCCCTTCCCAGGCTCCATGCTCCAGCACCTTCCTTCAGTCCATCTTCCACCCAACTCCAACAATTACTCCCTTGTTCAGGCTCCCTTACATTTAAGGGCTGCCCCAGTCACCATGCCAGGCCTCCTGCCTAGGGATTGGCCAGGTGCCCATAATATGTAAATCCAGGCCTCCTCCCCTCCTTTGCCTCTCTTCCAGAAAGTTTCAGCAGATGGGTGGGAGGGCTGCAGAAATCCTGACCTGTACAGCCTTCCAGCCTGCCTGAGGTAACCTCACTGCCTTACTCCCAGGCTGACTAATCCCAGGCTTCTAACAAGCCTCTGACTTACTACAAAAATCCTATCTACCTAGAGGGCACTACACATTTTACAGCCTGGACTATGAATTAAAATGTATGTTTGTCCCAAAAATAAAGATGGTAAAACTTACAGGAAACTTGTACTAAAAGAATATGTGGGCTGCCATTGTTGACTTTAGAACTCTCTAAATCATGGACCTGGACCAAGCATGCAGATCAGAAAGTTTACTTTACTTCAACTTTCTAATCTGCCTGTTGCAGGACAGTGATTTATCAAGAAATGCAACATGAGAAAGGTAGGCAACTAGTAATTTTAGACGGTGGTCAGTAA